TTCATGTGTTTTCCCACACATTTACAATTTTGCTGATACAATGTGCTATTGCTACATCTCTTCTGCAGCATAAAACAGCTTCCCACAAGAACTGGAGAGCTCTGCTTGGACTGTGAAACCAACTGAACCAGTATCTACCTAAGAATCTGTAAGATTGAGCAAAACCACAAAAAGTTACTTTCTTATTCAACAACTATTATCTTAGCTCTTGCTTACGTTTCAAACTCTTCCTCAGTTTTTCCATGTATTGCTGTACCCCAGTAATATATGCTTCATTTTAGGATGTTTCCTATTTAAAAAGGTACAGTCGACCCAGGGTCAATGTTCTGGTGATCCATCAAACCACTTCTTAAATTGGTCTCTGAACACTGCCCTTTAGTCGTGGTCCTTACGCTTTTCAAGGTGCCCAGCAGTGTTCACACCTGAACCGTACCATTCTGATACAAGACTGAATGGCAAATTCCAAACATTTGTCCTCTCGCAGAAAGCAGCTACGAATGGCCTTTACCGTCATTCATTTTTGTTTTTCTAAGGCTGCTTTCAACTCTACTAATATTACACTTCCAAAGTAGTAGTGAGTACAGTCACGCAGCTCTGAATTTATTACAGAAAACCTACTCAACACAGAAATGATACATGTGGCTGAAATTACAGTTGGCTGCTTGGATGCCACTCCACTTAACTCCCACAACAAATACTAAAGCAGTGCTAGCAGCTTACACACATGGAGATCAAGATTGAGCTACTGCCCACCGGGATAAGCTCTTCTCCAGTCACACCCAGTCCTGAAGAATTCCTTCAAGAAAAGCCATTTTGAGCACCATACATTCTCACACAACATGTCTAGATGTCACGGGAAATGCTGCACTACTGGAGCTAGCTTATTCAGCTGAATTATTTGTACTGCCTCAGACAGGAGTTAGCTGTGTTAGTGATCTGCTCTGCCCAGGAAAAAGATTATGCTCTTTCTGCATTACTGTACATATTGAGCATTAGACATACTAGATAAACAGGTAAACAGACAAGGGGAACAGAATAAGAATCAAAAGGCAAGAACAGAAACACAAAACCAGAAGAGGAGATGCAATTAAAAAGTGCCAATTAATGTATTGTGGACACATTTGCAAAATGTCTGTAAACCCTCCAAGCCAGTTGGTGAGCACTGATTAATTCTATTTTTACTGACAAATGTGGATGGCAAACTAAAGTATTTTATCTTCCCACTTGTCTGCAAACCAGCTTCTGCATGGCTGACTTCATGAACAGTCATTCCTTCTTTAGGATGCCTTCCATTTGTAATACTCGTGCTTCCATAGCTACTGTTGTTCTGAATGGATAACTTCTCACTGCAGTGCAGGGCTTTAAAAACTGCATGTTTGCAGTTCGCTATTAGATATCAAAATGCAATCCTCCTGAATCTTCAGCACATCTAACAGTAACTCAGTTTCTATTTCAGAGTAACTCCCTTTTTATTTGCAATTACTATATTATTTAATGAGCAATTACTACTTGTTTTTGGGGACTTCAATTTTAGTCTTGAGTAAGTATTTTTTACCATTAAAAACTTGTGTTCTTTCACACTGAAGGACGCACTGTTATATCTGCAAGGCAGCTACATTTCAGTGATGGTCAGAACTTTGACTAAATAAAAAGCTATTTTTGGTGGACCTCAAAAGATTCATGGTCTTTTGGAACCCTGTCCGTAGGGTATTAATTACAACATATAAAGAATGACTATTTACATTAGACTCCTCCTTATTTTGCACCCACCAGGAAGGGGAAAAAAAAAAAAAGTTGTTTTAGAATTATACTGCACACATTAATAAAGCTTTTTCTGGTCTCACCAGTTCCCCAAGTTAAACAAGCACAAGCACTTGGAAATAAGACTACATTTATTTAGAAGGAATTTTCCAGAAGAGACAAATTTATTTCTACTGAACCTAATATAACTGTCTTCCCCGTTTCAGTATTAAAGGACATCACAGAAAGATAGCCTAAAAAAGAATAAGTGCCCAAACTAGCTTTGATAAAAGCAATACCAACACAGATAAGCTATTCCACTGTGTAACATTCCATCCTCAGGAACATTATTTCAGACATTTCTAATTATTTCTGCGATTTCTTCCTCAGTTTTATTTGTTTTTAAATTAAGAGCTTCCCAGAACTTTTATCATAGTGGGAGAAACACTGTTTTAGTAACAATGCCACCTAAACAAAACAAGATTCAGACGCTCCCTTCCAACCGCTTACAACTAGAATGCAGAAGAGTATTCTTTTTCTCAAACTGTTCCACATTACCTCAGGTTTCTGCTCAATAACAAGGCCTTCTAATTTATAGTTTAGGTAGTACATCATTAAGTGGAAGAAATGCAGTATTGCGTACAAATTTCTTTTACAAAGCTAGAAGCAGTATGAGTTTTTATTTCATAAAGCCCCTTAAATAATTTCAGTAAGTCATTTTGAACCTAAAATTTAGTTCAACAGTTTAGTTTGACCTGTTCCTGCTATTCAATAAGAGATCTAAAGTTGACCACCTTATTTCCAGACTAGCTGAAAAAGTGTTTTGATTTCACCCAACATACCGATCTAAACTAGCTTTCTGAAACAACAGATCTCCGGCCCACTCGCTGCTAGGTTATAAAAAAATAGTAGCAAAGTTGTTATGGAGTACTGCACAGGCGTGCAATAGCAAAAGAATTATTTTTGTTGTATCAGCATTTGGCCATAAAAGTGGTTTTAGCTCACGTGTATTAATCTATGCTTCAACAAATATCTGAGGAAGTACAGCACTAGAACTGTGAAGTTACGAGCAGTTTTATTGTTGAGCGAAGTCTGAAGATAATAAAGCCTCACTTGAAATTTAAAAGGGTAAGACATCACAGATTGTTAAATTTACATCAGCATAGGCAATGCAGCACAAAATGAATTGTAAGAACAACAATGCAGAAGCTACTAATTCAACATTTAGGCTTACCAGGTGAGGTTTCCCAATAAATTTCCTGAAAGGTGGCTTAATGAACCTCATAGGCTTTTGGAAGCCATCAAGTTGAGAGTTTTGTAATTTTGAAAGACTGCAGCTTTGCTGGTTCCTGATGTGTATGTGTGAGAGAGACAGAGAGAGAGAACAATTAAAATCTAAAGCCATAGCCTATCAAACCCCCTGTATTTTAAATGACCTTAGTCTAGCATCAGTATCACTTAGAAGTGAAGAATGACAGTTTTAATTTTTTTCTAGAATATTCAACAAATTACTAGTCCTCTGACTAAACTCAAGCCCAAGTTGCACAGAATTATATAGTAAACTGTATTCTCTTATGCAGTGACAAATTAACAGAGATACTCTGCCTTCCGGAAATCCTTGCTATGCATATCAGGTTTCCCTGGCTCACCCCGCTAGGCCTGCATGGCTGGTCATTGCTGCCCTCCGCTGGTTGAAATGCTTTCTGCATTTCAGCAGTTTTACACTGTACTATCTTTAAAGTTGTACAGAACTTTCCATTTTATGAAATCCCAAATCCGACAGAAGCTCAGATAAATAGCTAATGCTGCAGTTTCATCCTCAGCAAGCAGGGTGTTCTGACTTTGGGCTTTTGCTTGCTTTTTTTTTTTTACTGAGCACATTGCTAATACAGATGTGTCCATAAACCTCTAAATAAAACATATACCATGAAAAGTAACCACCAAAAGTCAAAATTCATAGTTCACGAAACATACAGAAACAGTTTTCATAGCTGCAAAATAAGTTACTGAGGCAAAAACAGAGGCACACTGGACTAGCTCATAGGCATTGCCAGTATTTCACGTGTGAGCTATTAAAAACCCCCGATCTCAGGAAAATTCTGCCCATTGTTCATACCAGTACTGTCCTCAGCCCACATTACATTGTCCACATTACTCTGACAGCATAACCCCTCCTCACGTCGAACTCCAGGATAGCCACGCTTACTAGAGAAACTTGTGGTGCCTGCTTTGAGTGGCATACGCAAAAGGTAAGAAGGTAAGCAAGACAGTAACTCTGGAAGTGGCAAAAAAAAGCCTTACCAGATAATCAGGCCAAACATACACTAAAGACATAGCCCCAGGTACATAAAAGGCTATATGCAACAGTCCAATTCCCCCCCCCCCCCCCCCCCTT